AACTATTTTTATTATTAAATATTTTACAAAGTGACTTCAAACTAACATGTCAGCTTATGAGTACAATGTATCTTAATCAGTATAGTCCCTTCCATCACTCTCCCCATCCTTCCCAACCTCACCCATATCCTCAAGTTATCTCGTTCCATTTTCACACACACACACAAACACAAAACATACATTAAACATTGTGACTGTAGTCCCCTACCCTTCTTCTTTCCATTGGTCTATCCCCGCCTCTTAACCTTTACCCTCCTCTGACAAAACATAGTTCAGCTTCCTGGTACTCATTTTGTCACACTTTAGTTGTCCAAAGAAGTTACATCATAGAAACGACATTTCTAGAAAAAAGAGAATTATTGTGAAAAGACTAGATCAGATCCCAACAAAATAACACTGAGAAATGGTACAGGCAGGAGAGGGGTAGGTGAATGAAGGAGGAAAGTGGGGGAAGGATATTACAGTCAAGAATCCATTGTAGGGGCTGGGAAGGTGGCTCAGTGGTAGAGCGCTTGCCTTGCATGCTTGAGGCCCTGAGTTCGATGCCCTGAGTTCGATTCCTCAGCATCACATAAGCAGGAAAAAAAAGCCAGAAGTGGCGCTGTGGTTTAAGTGGTAGAGTGCTAGCCTTGAACTGAAGAGCTGAGGGACAGTGCCCAGGCCCAGAGTTCAGGCCCCACTACCGGACCCCCCCCTCAAAAAAAATTCATTGTGTATACCACAAAATTAAGAAAAGAAAGGGACGGGGTGGTTTGTGAGGGATGGGTGAGAATGTTGAAGCGGGTGACACTGGTCAAGATGCATTGTATTCATAGATTGCTTTGTTAAATGGCACCTCCTTTGTACAAAAACTTATAGATAATTTTTATAAATTTTCAACATGATGGGAGCCAGGCATTGGTGGCTCACACTTGTAATCCTAGCTACACGGGAGGCTGAAATCTGAGTTTGAAACCAACCTGGCAGGAAAGACTGTGAGACTCTTATCTCCAATTAGGCACCAGAAAACCAGAAGTACCTCTGTGGCTCCAAGTGGTTGAGTGTTATCCTTAAGCAAAAAAGCTCAAGGATAGTTCCCAAGCCCTGATTTCAAGTCCCACAACTAACAATCACAACAAAAAGATGGGATCTTAATGCCAATTATTAAGTGGAAAAGCCACTCTGTTGTGATTCTCACAATATGACATTCTGGAAAAGGCAAAACTATGGAACCTATGCAAAGATGGGTGGTTCCAGGAGCCTGGGGAGAAGGAGGGATGAACAGAGAAACACAGAGGATTCTGAGAGTTTGTAACACTCCTATAGGAGGCTACAATGGTAGGTCTAAGTCATCATACATGTGTGTGAACTCATAGTATGTATAACACAGTATGAATCCTAAGGTCAACTAGGGATTCTGACTTAGAATGTGCCTATAGAGGTTTGCCAATTTTAACAAATGCACTTCAGTATTCTAGTGGGGATTCTGGTAGTAGAGGAGGCTATGCGTATACAGAGACAAGGGTAATATAAGAACTTTGTACAACCCTCTCAAAGTTATTGTGAGCTTAAAATTTTCTTGTAAAAATAAGGTTTACTAACATTCAACAGGTAAAAGGAGCATTGAGTTCTAATCTTAAACACAAGCATGAGATTACCAACGCAAGACCTTGGTCCTATCTGATAGCATCTTCACTTTGCTTACAATCATTGTACTTAAAATGTATCTTTAAAAAAAGAGAGAAAGCAGCAAGCCAGTGATCATTGGCTCAAGCCTATAATCCTAGATATTCAGGAGGCTGAGATCTCAGCTAGTTGAGATCAAAGTTCAAAGCCGGTTCAAGCAAAATAGCCTACAAGACCACCTCTCTAATTAACCAGCACAAAGTGGGACTTGAGGAATGGCCCAAGGGGTAGAGCACCAACTATAAGCAAGAAAGCCAAACAAGAGTGTAGGATCCTGAGGCCCAGCTCTAGAACCTGTACATATACACAAATGAAAACAAAATTAAAAGACATAAAATTCTCAGGAAAATAACAAAATGCTGCAACAAGGATACAGATTGACCCATTGTAACAATGAAACTTACAAGACACTATGCAGAAAATGAACTTTACAACTGTGGGGGGAGGAAGGAATTAGCGAGGTGGGGAGGGAAGGGATAGTAGGGGAAAAACAAAGGAAGAGTTAACAATGCTTGATAGAAAATGTACTTATTACCTTACTCATGTAACCGTAACACCTCTGTACAGTATCTATCTTTACAATAAAAAATGGAAAAAAATAACAACAACAACAAAAAACAAAATTCTCACTTCTATTGGATAAGGTGAGCAAAGCAATAAGTAAATGGACAAAAAATTAAATGTAAGCCTATGTGGAAAACAAACTTTACAACTTCGGTGTGGGGGGGGGGGTAAAGGGAGAGTAGTTGTGGAGGTGGGAGGGAAGGATGGTAAGGGAAAAACAAAGGAGGAGGCAACATAGCTCCATAGGAAGTGTACTCATTACCTTGCGCATGTAACTGTAACCCCTCTGTACAGTAGTTTTTACAATAAAAACGTACAAAAAATTAAATGTAAGCAAAACAACATAATAGATCCATTCTAATCAAGGATGTAAAGGGGGAAGTTTGGACCATTAAAGAATCAATGAGAATATCTCAGCTTAATTTTTTGTTTTGTTTTGGTTTTTTTGGTGCGGTTGTGGGGCCTGGGCGCTGTCCCTCAGCTCTTCAGCTCAAGGCTAGCGCTCTACCACTTGAGCCACAGCGCCACTTCCAACTTTTTTCTTTTTGCTTATGTGGTGCTGAGGAATCAGACCCAGGGCCTCATGCATGCAAGCACTCTACCACTGAGCCACCTTCCCAGCTCTCTCAGTTTAATTTTTAAGATAATGAAAACGCACTTTCTTGATGAACTGCCAAAAGCTTATTCCAGACAATGCAAACTTTTAGAAATAGATTCTGACATTATGGACTAGCAACACTTACAGAACTTCTTTACAAAGACCCAGTCGTCTCAGGACCTTACTGTAAAAACATCACATTGGCATTTAATTAGTTCAAATATAGCCATATAGTTTTGTGCCACTGCCATTATTTTTAAAAGTGTGGATTTGCTCTTATATCTGGTGCTTCAAATATTGATTTGCTTTTAAATTCAAGTTAAAAATTAATCTGGGCTCTGTTTTGGTTTCAAAGAATCTTAAACATTTCTTTTTTTCCTTTTATCCTTCCTTCCTTCCTTCCTTCCTTCCTTCCTTTCTTTCTTTCTTTCTTTCTTTCTCTTTCTTTTTTTCTTGATAAAGGATTGAACTAAGGCCTTGTACTAATGCCTGGATTTTTTGCTCAAGGCTGGTACTCTACTACTTGAGTCACAACTCCACTTCTGGCTTTTTGCTAGTTAACTGGAGATAAGAGTCTTACAGTCTTTTACATCCTGGGCTGACTTCAAACTGTGATCCTCAGGTCTCAGCCTTCTGAGTACCTAGGATTCCAAGTGTAAGCCACAAGCACCCAGCTTTGCTGTTTTAATCTGTTGTGAGGTTGAGTGGCTGAGTGGGTCACAGACTGAGTATCACAGATGTCCGTGTGCTTTAGTGTGCATTACAGTCCGTGGCACTCACAGCACAACAGAGTGAGATTGGGAGAAGAGCAATGGCTCCACTTCAGGGCTGCAATCACTGAAATCATTGCAATCACTCAGGGGCTTGCTTGCCCCAGGCAGGATTTGTTCTGCTGCACAGTAGAAAAACGGCCAAAGATGACGGAAACACAATATACCCAGCTCTCCCAGCTGCAATCACAGGTCCAAATAAACCATCAGAGATTATCCTCAGAAATCCTAAAACCCTTTACGTATATAGCTTAGGAGACTTTTTTCAACAACCAATAGATGGTCTTAGGGCCCCACTAGCCCATTTTGAGGATGGGTAGGAGAGTGCTGTGTAGAAGTCTGAGGACAGGAATGTGCCCAGAAAGAAGTAAGTGATGTGCTGTGCATGTCCTTCGTCTCTATTTTAATGTCTCCAACAATCTAGTGGTTAATTAGCAATTTGCTGCCCACCGATATGCAAATGAATGACAAGCAAAGCTTCTCTGCATCTGTAATTATTTTGCTGATTTACAAGCCACTTTCTTCTCTGTGTAGATTTTTCTCTGTGTGTGCATTCATGCATTGGGGATTTCATTATTTTTAGAAGTGTACTCTGCACATTTTCATGCTTTAATAAAAAAAGACTTCAGTAATTACAGTCTTTGAAAAAACATATATATATATATATATATATATGCATTTCCACTTCAACTCCAAATGTGCTTATCAGATTTTTTTTTTGCTATAGTGAGGAGTTAGATTTATCAAGGGACTGTAATCCAAATTGCAGAACACAAGATTGAAAGATACACATTTCTATTGGTGCCAAATCCTTATCTGGAATCAGAGTCTTGTAGTGTTTGATTTTCTCCCAAGCAGCTCTGGTGAGTTTGAGCCATGATCTGCGTTATCCATCTGCCTACTTTGGAGCAGGGTGCTTTACTATTTGGCGGTTTAGACGCTTTATTTCTTCTTTCTTTATTTATTTTAACCAGGCATTAAGAAAGGCTCTCATGTTAAATTAAGTCAATTAATAAATGGAGACACATTAAGCAATCAATTTTGTCAGCCTATCTCCCCAGCATTATGTATGGCTGGCTGTAATCACAAGATAAATGCAATGTGCTGATCTATGGTAATGTTCAATAATACATTCTCCGCCAGGCTCAATTCATCAGGGAGTTTCGGTAGAGGAGGCATTTGTTATTGGCTGTCTCTGCACCTCAAGGATAACATTTCTGTCCTTTTGATTGGCTGTCTCACTGCTGCAAGATTCTAACCGTCTTATTTTGATGATGAATATGAAGGCGTGCTAAGCCGGGCTGGAGTGGAGTGTCTCAGAGGCTGCGCTCTTCCCAGAGCCCAAGGACTTATCAGCTTCCTCTGCCTCCTTCCTGTGCCAACCACCCACCCCCTCCCCAAAAGTTGTGATGCTTTTCTTTACCCAGTGCTTTGGGGCTGTGTTGGATCTGATTCACCTGAGGTTTCAGCATTATAAGGCTAAACGTGTTTTCTCTGCTACTGGGCAACTTGTCTGCGTAGTCAACCCCACACACAACCTTAAGGTGAGTGGCTGGCTCTCATTATTTTCTTTTGTATTCCACTGGGATTCTATTCCTTTCTCAGTGGGCAGGAGAGAGAGGCATCAGGGACCCTCTGGCATGGGCATGGAACTCCCTGATTGCTGGGTTTTTTTTTTGTGGGGGTTGTTTGTTTTTTAGGATGGTGTGGTGGATAAAGATGCTGCTTTAGCTCATTCTTTCTCTCTGGGTGGCTTGGCGCTGTTAGTGAAAACGTTCTTTTTCCCAGGCTGGTTTGCAACACTGGAGTGATGGTGGTGTGTCTTTCCCACGCTGTCAACCTGAGCAAGGAGGGGGGAGGGGCGCAGAGAGTAGCAGAAGTACTCCAGTAAGAGGATTTGAAAAGTTACCCAATTTGCTGTCTGTCCCATGTCAGGAGAGATGATTGGCCAGGGGAGAAGTCCTTACGGGGCAGAGACACCCTGAGGGGTAACTGGGAGTTGGTGAGGAGCTTTTTCTGTGAAGTGTTTGCCCTTGTCCTCAGAGTGTGTGCGTGTGTGCGTGTGTGTGTGTGTGCGTGTGTGTGTGTGCGTGTGTGCATGTGTGTGTGCGTGTGTGTGTGCGTGTGTGCATGTGTGTGTGCGTGTGTGTGCGTGTGTGTGTGTGGTGCCCCGAGGAGTTTAGCTCATTTCCTTCCTGCCAGCTAGATGTGTGCCTTGTGCTAAGGACAGGAGGAGGAACAGGGGCTTCGCTTGCTCCAATTGTACAATAATAAAGGCAGCTGCAAGCTACCGCTGCCTGGAGCTCTGTAGGCAGGCAGCTGGGTGCAGAATTGCCGGTGGTGGCTGCCTGGCTGCCTGGCTACTTGCCTGGCGCCTGCTGCCTCTGCACTTATGCCTTCAGGTCAATGGCTTTTAAGAGAATAGCCAAAACACAGGGTCCGGAAGGACTGCCAGACGCCACAACCAAGATGGATGGGGAAATGAATGAAGAAGGGTGGTAAGGAGGACAGAGGGGAAGAAATGAGTGGCAGGAGGGCACAGCTGAACTCTCCAAAGGAGAAGCTCTGAGCCACCTTTATGGTCCTCAGGTAAAAAGCAAGTCCCATGGAGAGTTGTTTCCCTGTCCTCCTCCTCACAGTGCAGGGGGATTGAGGGCCAGGGGAAGAGAATGTCTGCCACAGAGTCCTGGATCTGCCAATGTGTCGTTCTGAGCACTGCGTTGGGTACTGCTGGGTGTCATCAACTCACCAGTCAGCCTATTCTCACTGGAGCAGGACAGATCAGCTGAGGGATGCCTTTCACCTCTGTTTCTGGAAATCTCTAGGAAGGACACTGTCTGGAGTTCCTGAGGCCACATGGTAACACCTTGCTAAGGCCACCCTGAGTGGAGGGGCCACAGGCTGAATTGGGACCCCTATGATATATGGGGCTCCTATGTTTAACCTGTCACAATCACTCTCCTTCCCTCCCTCTGGTTCTTACTTTCTTCATCTCTCTTTTTATTCCACTACTCCTTGTTGGCTTGATATAACCAATGAGAATTCCCTCCACCCACCCATCTCCACCCCGACCCCGTCATCCTTGGCAAAGCAAGGATATCATATGCATATTAACATACAATTCTGAATTTCATTCTGTGGCCACTCCTGAGACCTTATTCGAACTCTTATTATTTTGTCACTTTACATTAGTTAGTTTCCCATGGCAAAAAATGTGTTTATTCCTGTTTCACATTTTAATACCTTTAAAATTTATTTATGAGACTTAGCATTTCTGAAGTTTGAATTTATATGGTTCATTGAGTCAAGCTGATGGTTGGCGAGGGGAGCAAGGCTGAAGCGTTGGAGTGGAGACAGGGTCAGCCATCTGTGTATATTTCCCAGCAATGCCTCCTTGGATATTAATAAGCAATCCTGCTGTTACAGCACAGGGTTCCAGAGTCAGGGCTGGAGGTCTTGTTAGCACTGGTCAGCTATGGTGACCTTGAATGACTCAACCTCTCCCTACCTTTCCTCTCTTTCTTTCAAAAAAAAAAAAAAGACCAACTTAGAAGCATCTTCCCTGCCCCCTCCACACCTTTGTGAGAATGCCAAGAGATCCTAGAGATAGATGTGTTGGTAATATTCTCCTCTAAAAACAAGCATGCTTTTAAATATAATTTGGAAGAACTTCAAAAGCTTCTCTAAAGCCTTGGAGCAAGTCAGAGATCATAGAAGTAAGAATAGAAAAATGGGTGATTCAAGCTTTGAGAAGATGCTTTCCCTGCCTCACTTTTTACATTTACTCTCCCTTGGCTCTTCATTTCCCATAGGAAACCACTTAGGGATTTTGCTCATGGCAGCACAACAGATAAACAAGGCACTTCAAGTGCTGCTGGTGGTAAGCAGGACGTAGAGCAACACACGGGACTAACTGCTGCTCCTGGCAGGGAGAGACCCCAGCAGCCCCACTGCCTCTGTGAGGGTCTCCAGATTCCCAAGCTCATCCAGAGTCCAGGTGAGCAACCAGGGTTGTTTGCCTGCTTCCCACACCTAAAGGCTAATTGAATAAACACCTAGAAGCATATCGCACCCTCACTTAGATTCAAGAATGCATGACAGCTCCAAAAAAGTCCTCTTTTGAAATATTAATTTCCATAAATAAGACACAGAAATAATCCTAATGTAGTAAGCTGTGGTCTATGTTTTGTTTTGCTTTGAAGCCATGTGACAATGTTAACCAGAATAGCTATTGATCCGGGGTGCTTCTTGCAGTGTGTGTGACAGGCTGGTACAGGAAACAGTGACCAAGGGCAGAGGTGCTGCAACCTGGCTTTCCATTTGCTTAGGTTTGGAAAGCCAGTGCTTTTCTTAGAGGCAATGTTTGTATGCTTTGTCTGGGCTTTCGTGAGAAGTCTACTGGCATCTAAGGACCTGAGGCAAATGCCAGTTATAATCAAAACTCACTTACTGAGCGGAGAAAACTATGCATTTGCTATGTTTCCTTAGGTCACCTTCATTCACAATCTCATTATGGTGTACTCAGTAACTAACCTGGGCTTTTTTCACATGGGAAGCCTTTCCTTCTAAACGGAAGGCAGAGCCTTCTGGTTAAAGCCATCGTCCCAATAAATTCTTCTTAATCCAAAGGGACCTTTACAGTAGCTGGCCTTGAACATGAGAGCACTCAGCTTTAAGTAGCTACCCAACAGTGAAATCTGTAAGCTGCTATGATTCCCAATGCCTATCTGTCTCTGGCTGTAAAGCTAACTCCTTACACAGGTCAGAGTTCAAAGGGCACCCCTTGCCTCCACTTTAGCTTTAGATGTGACCAGCAGGCTTGGGGTGGCATTCTTGAGCTGCTGCCTTCTCCTGATTCAGCACTCTCTTCCTGCTGGATCCTTTGCCCAAGAAGCCAGTCTCTCCTGGCTCCTCTCCTGCTGGCACTGGTCACCCTAAACAGCTCTGCCTCCTTCCCTGTCTGCAGATGTACCCTTTGCAGGGTGGCACGGCTCGGCCCCGCAGCCAGATTTCTATAGTGCAGAGACTGCAGGGCTGGCCAGAGCCTCTCAGCGGCCAGCCTTCAGCCCTTTCCACGCAGATAGACCGTGCTGAGCTGAGGCGGCTGGGTGACTTCCTCCTCCTAACCACACACATTAGTAAAGAAGATTCTAGAAGAAGAAGGAAAAAAGACTAGCAAAATGCTTGCTGGCAAACTTCCAAAAAGCCTTTCTGGTATTTCCACCCAGTGCCAATGCTGTCCTGCGGAGCTCTCCCAGTGTCTCCTTTCCTCTCCCTCCAGACCTGGGAGTGTAAGGCTCATGCCAGAATCCTGCAGCACCTTCCTGTTGTAAACTATTAACCTTGGGTTTTCAGACAGGCGCGTGCATGTGTACACACACACACACACACACACACACACACACATACACAGAGAGAGAGAGAGAGAGAGAAAGAGAGAGAGAGGGAGAAAGAGAGAGAACTAGGAGAGGCATACAGGACAATGACAGCTTCCATTTAAGTGCCTGGCAGGTAGGAAATCTCAAAGTGGGGCATTTCAGTATCTTTCCTGGCAATGCCCATGATGTGCCCTTCATTTAGAGAGCAGCCTGTATGGATGAATGTGTATGGAGTGAAGGGGGGCATGAGGAGCTGTGGGAGCCAGAGAGCAGGAGGAGGTGGAGGAGGGGGAAGAGGGGGAGGAGGGGAAGAGGAGAAGGGGAGGGAGAAATGAGGAGGAGGGAGGAGAGGGAGGAAAAGAGGAAGGAATAAAAGGGGCAGGGGAATGAGAGAAGGAAGGGAGGAGAAGTCCTGAGTACTGGTTTTTGAGTTCAGAGTCAGCCTTTCTGGCATTCAGCAGTGAAGGCCTACTTTCATGCAGTTTGTTAGAGCCTTCTGACAAGATTGTCTCTTAGCTGTCCTTATTTTCACAGCCTCCCCACCGAGTCCCACTCTCTGTCCTCTAAAGCATTTTCCCATGCTTTTTCCCCATGGGGTCAAGAGCCACCCTCCCGCCTGCCCCTTAGCACCTGAGAAGGGTTAGGTGGGGTGGGGTCTGGGAGAGGCGACCTAGGCTGGTGGTCTGTACTAGGCAAGGTTTACTGGAAAGGCTTTGCAGAGTCTTCTCAGCCCCTGGCTCCCCTGAATACTGTGTCCCTCGTCTCTGAGCACAGAGCAGTTGTGCTGCTTTTCTGGTTAATGGTGATTGCAAATGAGGCTCCCGAGCCACATCACAGGAGAACGGAGCCCGGAGCAGTAATTTGGTTAGCTGTGTGCTGGTGATTGAGCTGCAGAGGAGGCTGGTGCTGGCTCTGTGCAGAGGGCCATTGCCTCTGACGGGGTGCATCTATTCACATTGCGTGGCATTTCCCTGGCTGGATCTCTCTGGTTGCAAGGACTATTTGGGGAAAATTAGACAACTGATACTGAAACTCACAGAGAGGTCGGAGTTATTTCGGTGGCTTTCCTGGGGGAAAGAGAAGATTTTTCTAGCAATTAATAATGAGGAAGAAGACATTAACAGTGAAGGTCTTTCACCCTCACAAAGTCTTTGTAAATTTTTTTC